CTGCAGGGGCTTCTACAATGGCACTGGCTCCTGCAGTAAAGCAGGAATTTATAATTATTTATAAGTATATAAATATAAAATATAAAAAATGTATTTATATATCTATATAAATATATAATATATAATATACATTAAAATATAGCTATGTTGTATATAAATATACAATGCAATATATAAAATGTAATATCTATATATACAATATATATCTCTAGATATTATGTACAATATATATAATAAATATATATGTAATAAATATTATATAATATATAAAATATTTTTAATATATAAAAATAAATATATAAATATATTTTCATATAATTCTAAATATATAAAATATTTAATATATAAAATAATATACAATATATGTTACATATAAAAATAAATATATAAATATATTTTCATATAATTCTAAATATATAAAATATTTAATATATAAAATAATATACAATATATGTTACAATAGATATATTACAATCAATGTAGAATGTTATAATATAACATGTGCATATAGGTATATTATACATAAAATTATTATACATAATGTGCATAATGTTTTATGTATATTATACATAAAATTATTATACATAATGTGCATAATGTTTTATAATAATTGATAATGTTTTTACTGCTGAAGTTGTCCGGGTGGTTTGTAGAGAAGTGGGAAGTGGCTGGGCCATGGCAGCCAAAAAGGCCACGAGGCTCGTCACAGTTTGGTGTCTGGAATGAGCTCAAGATGGGTTTGAAATGTGGGAAGCTGTCAGGATGAATTGTAGGAACCACCTGTGCAACAAAAATCTGCTCCAAACCAAAAAATAATATTAAAATAAATATAAATTATTGAAATAATAAATATATTAAAGTAATTTATTAATATATAAGGTATAAGGGATACTATGAATGATAAAAACTAAAAATGTAATTACATATTATTCATTTTAATATGATATAAATACATAAAACTCCTGAAGTCCAGTGAAGAAAAGTCTAGAGTAGAACAGAATAGAGAATTAAATTGGAATAGAATAATAGAATGATAAGAGAATTTCAGACTAGAATAAAACACTGTTAGAGAGAGGAAAAGGGAATGGGATGGGATGGGATGGGATGATGGAATGGCATGGGATGGGATGGGATGATGGGATGGGATGATGGGATGGGATGATGGGATGGGATGATGGGATGGGATGATGGGATGGGATGATGGGATGGGATGATGGGATGGGATGATGGGATGGGATGATGGGATGGGATGATGGGATATTCCCCTGCTGTGTCAGGAACCATCCCTGTCATTATTTTAGGTGTGGAAATTCAGCCCTTGGTGCATCACCAGGACGTGGCGTGTGCAGGTTTGTCCTGGTCCCATCCCAGCCATGGCTTTCTCAGAAGGCCAAGCTGTATTTTACAGGGCTGAGGATCAATTTTTCTCCTCCAAGCATGTTTGGACACACACACCCTTCGTGTGTATTTTGTTACTCAGTTGAGAAAAACAAAGATTTCCATGTGAAAGGATAGAACGGCAGCTGGTTTTGTATCATCCAAATTAACACATTTGGGGTTTGCTGTAACAAATTAGGAACTCTTTGGGGTAAGTTGTGTTATTTAGAGAGACAATGTGTTTGTCCTGTGTTTAATGAACCTTATGAAAAATCAGACAGCTACAGAAGTTGTTGTTCTCTGCCTCACTGTGTCAGGAACGGTGACAGAGACGGCGCACACTCTCATTGAAGAGAGCTCTTTTTGTTCCTCCAGATCCTCTTTTATAGACAGTTCTGAGAAGGTCCAAAAAGGTAAAACTTTCATTGGCCATCAAACCACCACATCACCATCACTGGGCAGTTGGGAACAACACCCCTCGAGCGTTTCCTGCAGGAAAACAACAAGGGGACAAACAACACCTGCAGAGGTTGTCTTCCCTCTCCAAGGGCTGTTTGAGTTCCTCCTCACAATTTCTCAGGCCAGTGTGAGAAGGTTCTGTGACCTGGTTTCACACAGACACTGCACTCCCTGCCTGATCTCTCACATTCAGCATCCACAGTTCTCCATGGCTGGGAACTGCCAGGATCTGAGATGAGAGAATGAATGATGTGTGCTACAGGAAAAGAGCATGTCCTGGTCAGAGCCCAGCTGTGCCCTGCTCCCATCCCACCCCATCCCCATCACCATCCCATCCCCATCCCCATCCCCATCCCATCCCATCCCATCCCATCCCCATCCCCATCCCATCGGTGTCCCGGCTGCTCCCACCCCGCTCTGGCTGGTTCAGCCGGTTCACCTTG